GAAAACCACCGTTGATTACACGATATATTTTCAGCAAAGTATATTTTAGAGAAAGATGGGCTAAAAAGGAAAAGCTAGCTGAGAGCTAACAGGTCTTGTGAGGGACTCACCTTGAAACCGGTAGGGCACCAATCCACAAACTGTATTGAACGCTTGGTCTTGATTGCAGCGATTGAAGCATTGACATCTTTCGGCACAACGTCACCCCTGAAAATGGTGAGAATATCATTCCGCAGAAACAAGATACATTCTCTTAAGGCACCGCTCTCTTGCCCATGCGGACAGGACGCTGAGATACTTCGCACGTTACACGCGGTGTCCTTTTGCTACGTTTTTCCTAATAAAAAAAACGCGGTCATTCCAGCCTTGACTCAGACTGCGAAAGCGAGAAGACTAACAAAAGTGGTAACAAGCAAATGCGGAATATTTATTCGCGGCTCCTAACATCGGCATACCGGCTATGGATGCATGCCGCGCATTGAGAGTCTATTCAAATAAAGACCTGAGCCTGCACTCCATTTGCATTTGGAAGCAAAAACATGTGAACTTCATGCGCTTCCAATGTTTCCAATTTTTCTTCGTCAATACAAACCTGTATAACAGACAGACAGCCATGTACTTTCCATGACGAGGATCACACTTAACCATCTGATTGGCGGGTTCGAAGCACATATTCGTTATATCACCGACGGATAACGTTTCGTGATAAGCCTACAACTGCGTTTTTATGAGGCAAAAAGGTAAACAACAGCCAAATTTACCTTTTCAGAGGATATTACGGGAGAGTATGTCGCCAGAGGGAAATGTATTCGAGGATACGGAACAAGATTAGTTTGGAACTCAGTAAGATCTACATTTAAGGCCCCATCAAACCTCAGAGAGGCAGTTATAGAAGAGACCACCTGAAACACATACTGTTTGATAACTGTCACCTAGCATTTTTTCTCCGAAAAAGTACCTGTGATATGAGTCGATTGAGGTTAGTGTAACTAGGTCGCTCAACATCCAGATTGCGACGGCAAATATCGTATATTGCCTCGTTGTCGACCATGAAAGCGCAATCGGAGTGCTCCAGAGTGGTATGCGTCGTCAGAATTGAGTTATAAGGTTCTACTACAGCAGTTGAAACCTTCAATGATACACTGTAGGCAAATTCGCACTCCACGCAAGAACACTGACCTGAGGAGCTGGGTAGATAGAGAACTCGAGCTTGCTCTTCTTTCCGTAATCAACGGATAGACGTTCCATCAATAATGAAGTGAAGCCTGATCCGGTACCTCCGCCGAAGGAATGGAAGATGAGGAATCCTTGCAATCCAGAGCAGTTATCAGCCAGCCGGCGAACTCGATCCAACACCAGGTCGATGATTTCTTTGCCGATAGTGTAGTGCCCTCTTGCATAGTTGTTGGCTGCATCTTCCTTGCCAGTGATTAGCTGTTCAGGATGGAACAACTGCTTGTAAGTTCCGGTTCGGATTTCATCTAAAATGATATTTATCAACTTGAGCAGTTTCAAGAACTAAGGCAGTGCAAAGCTAGAAAGTGCATGGGTAACAAAGCATTAACTGAAGCTGTTATGCCATAGTTAGCACACATGGGATTGCAACTACTCACTAAAGCACCACCACTTCACCCAACCACCCGTAGGTCACAAGCATGCGAGAAGCGGAGTGACAAGATACAATGAGTTCAGAGCTATTGAAAAGCACTAACTAGAAGCGAAAAAAA